GAACCACCGTCGTTCTTATTAGGGTTTCAAGGAAACAGACACATGCGGCAGCCCTGCTCCTCTGTGTCACCAAGCTGCGTCATTTCTAGGGCAGGGCCTGAACTGGGTCACTCCTGTTCGGATCAAACGCCACTGCCAAGGGGGCCCGGCGTCCACCTGGCAGGAACTAGGGGCAGGTGTTTATGGGAAACTCCCACACACCAGAGGCCAAGCACTCGACCTCCAAGCACTCGACCTCCCGGGTGGTGGTGACAGAATGACCCTGGGAGCCCCGCCCTCTGCCCCCCACTTCGTGTAGTTAGGTTAATTGACCACCCGTGTAGTCAGGATATCACCTTCCTAACTGCTTTCTTATGGGGCCCAAACAAATAGGGACCTAGCCCTCACGTGGCAAAACGTAAAGGGCTTAGAAAGCCGCCCACTTTTCAAACTTGAGTCATTCTGCCCTAAGCACAGTAAACAGTGAAAAGGAACGCCCAGGAGGACATGAGGGACCTCTGTCCTTGTTGTTGCTACAACGTGAGGACCACCAGGCAAAGACACCCACATATGCGTGAAGCATTATCCCGACCCCGGCCCCCAGATGGCTCTGTCCACCCTAAAGACCAGGGGACAGGGGGAGAGGAAGGGGGCCCTGCTCACCCTGGGGCCACCCCTCCAAGCCGGCAGTGTGGAGGCAACCCCTGTCTCATGCTAAGCAGACCTAGCCAATGCTGGTGTGCACGGCTCACAAAAAGTTACTTCGATTTTTTCCTTTCAAATGTCACTATTATCCACGTGTATCAAAAGGACAATTCAGATGGGCCGGCCAAGTGGCTCAGTTGGTTAAGAGCTCGCTCAAGAGTGTGAGCTCTGAGCAACAGCGGTTCGAGCCCCGGCCCGAGATAAGCTGCCGCTGAGCTGCCAACAGATGGCAGGATGGCTCAGCTAAAAAAAAAGGTTGATTCAGTTAAGGTCTTTGGCCTAAAACAAGACCCAAGCCCAGGTCCACACTCTCTGCCCCCCACCCCACCCCTGCACCCCTGCATGACCATCCCCGAGGTCTATGACCCGCCTGCGATGACCGGGGCAGCTTTCTCACTCGCAGAACCAGTCAGCCACCACAGCAGGCTCCTGGGGCACCAAGAACAGAGCCCGTCCAGACACGGCTTTGATGGGAATGACGTTGTCTGCGGACTTTGCTGCTTCCCCAGCAGTATAACGTCTGAAAACCAGTGGAAATGTGAGGGGACTGGGACAGCACATGAACACACGCGCTACTTGACAGCAGTGCACACCGTTCACGCCGATGCAATGTCAGTGCCTCGGAAATGGTCAGCGCCACTTTCCATCTGGGAAAACTCAGGCTCCAAAGAACCACACATTCTGTCCCAGGTCAGAAAGCAATACTGCCCTCAAGGAACAAAATCTAAACTTTTAAGACTGTCCCTGGTGGCAAAGCACTTGCTGCCAGCATTGGCCACCAAAATGTCCAGTGCCTGTAACCTGTGTCGGCCGGCCCCACACACTAGTCTACCACCCAGAGCTCAGCCCGGCCCCAGCAGCACCGTCAACCGCCGCTGCACTCTTTCCCCACAGACAAGTCAATTCACCGTGGCTGGGACCCAACGCCCCAGCCACCTGTCTCCACAAGCGCTTTAACCTCAGAAGTGTTCACATTTTAAATGAGTTGCATGCAAATGTGCCCTAGGCCAGCGTATCTGGGCCAAGGGGGAAACGGTGTCTGTCCTAGAATGAGAGTCTGCACTCTGGCCAAGGCTCAGAGCAACAGGGAGCACACCCTCTGCGAAAGCAGGACACACGCACTGCGGAAAACGCTAACTGGCCAAAAGAGAGCCCTTAGAAACGGGCACCTTAACGTAACATCTGTCTGAAAAGATCTCTTAAAACCATTTTTGCATGTGCTAATTTTGGTGTCATATCACTGTTTTCTTCCTTCAACTATAATCACAATATTACTGTGATGTTACAACTATTCTAAGAAGTGTATACAAAACCAACCGGTGCTTCCCAGTGGTCTGGGGACAACTGCCTTCTTGTTTTCCTTTCGGCTTTTTTTAATTTTTATTAAATTGATTAGGATGACACTGGTTAATAAAGTCACATAGGTTTCAAGTGTTCAATTGTGTAATACACCATCCGTATATTGCGTTGTGTGCTCACCACCCAGAGTCAGTTCTCCTTCCATCACTATGAATTTGGCCCCCTTTTCCCTCACCTACCATCCCCTTCACCCCTTACCCTAACAATGACCTTCTTGTGTGTTTTTGTTAGTCCCACAGCGGATAAAATTTAGACTCTGATACTTTCAAAGGAACAATTACAAAAGCATCTCTTTATAAGACTGTCCTTGACAGAATATTAAGACTGAGTTTGCCACAACCAAATTCAGCATGAGCTCACCATGGGCTGTGAGACAAGCATGAAAGGCCCAGGACTCAAGGAACAGTGTGACACCTGTCTCTCTCCCCTCCCAGCCCGGACTCTGACCTACAGGAAGAGAAGGCACAGCCAGGGGCACGCCCTCCCTCACAATTGTCAACAGTCTGTTACTTCACTTGACACCTATGTGTGGCTTTGAAAACCTGGCAGGCCCCTAATCCCTTCCCACATGTGTATCAATGGCTTGTAACAAGAATTAGCTACTAGCCAAGCAACAGTTACTTTTATAAATTACTTCTACTTCTTCTTTATAAGTTTTTATGATGAAAAACTGCAGTGAAGGGAAAATACCCAATAGAATTGAATATTTTCTGACCAATCAATTATATGATGTAACTAGAATTTCGTATCTGTCATTTTGATTTACTGAACTAAATTGCACTATTTAAAAGAGGGCACTTGGTTTGGGGGCACTGGGAATAGTTTAACTACACTTTTTTTGTTCTACTGTTATTAAAATGAAGTAATGTAATTAATCACAGTTCCTAATCAGTAGGTCGACATGCATGAAGAGATGGGTGTAAATCTTTTATTTTCTAGAAAGCATTTGGCTTCTTTAAACACAGCTCCCAGCATTTGTCACCCAAATGTCAACACGAGCTGTTCTCTGCTCTCACACACGGGACTCATGCAAAGAACTCATGAGAACTCATGCAGCGAGTCAGTGTTTTTACAGTTTTTATCAAGGAGTTGTCTACTTGTCACATGAAGACATCCCTAACACTGACATTTGAACAGAAGATGAGAGTTAAGTCCAGGGTCGCCCATGACCAAGATGGGACACCCTTTCTGAACCACAGCTTCCTCCCCAGAAGAAAAAACGGCAGGGGCTGCACCTATCCTGAGGCTCAGAGGAAGGGGATCCAGTGAGCCCCAAACCACCACACCTGCAAGGCACCACACGGCACCAGCGGCCTCCTCAGCACCCCTGCAAGCCTGGCCAAGCGCCTGCCTCACAAATCCCACTGACAAGCTCACCCAGTTTTAAATAACAAAAGTGCAGCATGGGGACTGTCACTGTAAGAGGAAGACAAATGCTAAGCCAATAGGAACACCAAAAGGATGTGTCTGTGGACGGGTCAAAAGTATCCTACGTTTTACGTAATGTACCACAAGCACGAATTTCCTTTTTTAAATATAACTAAAGATCAGCCATACCTTCCACTTACAGATCAGAATGCACATAATAACAAGCAAAACAGAACCATCAATAAAACACCCCGACAAACTCAGAAATAAACAGTGTTTCATGAGGGGTATCTCAGCACCTCTCCGGAAACATCTCACACCACCTCTTCCTCTTCAAGCACAGGTGCCCCCCTAGCACCCCAAGAACACTGGTAGGGGCTTGCACCCTTTCTCTACTTGTGCCCGTACAGAAACAAGTCCCCGCCAAGCTCTGCCACCTGTGCCCAAGTTCACCGACTTGGACAGGGAAACCTTGCCTTCTTAACACGCTGAAATTCCTTTTCAGGGTGACCCATGGCTCTTTCCAGCAAGCACGAGAGGACATGGGAGGTGCTGTTTCTACTACTTCTGCCACCGCGGCAGCTGCTCCAGCAGCACATGTTACTACACAGCAAGGGAGGAGCTCTCCAGAAGCTCAGCACTCAGTCCACGCAGGCGAGTGCAGGGGACAGAAGAGAAAACGGCGCTGCAAGTGCTCGAGTTTCCCTCTGCCTAGGAATCCCAGAACGAAGCAGTGACGCGTAATGCTTAGGGGACCTTACACTGCCACAGGCAAAGAACCCAAAAGAACCGCCGAAATGACAGGAAACTGAGTGGATGCGCTGAGCGCACTGGGCTCCAGGTGGTCCTGCACCACCTGACCCTCCAGGAGACCCGCTGATCGGACAGCACTAGGTGGTCATAATCAAAGGAACCGGGCGTCCTTTAAGTGATCACACTGTGCTGACCAACACTGTGGGGATGGGAAGAGCTGAAACCCTCCTGCCACCCAGGAAGGCTGTGTGCCCAGGAGTCCTCCAGGGCTCACCTGGGGTCCCTGTCATCCTTGTGTTAGTAGGGATGCAGAAGCTTTCCATGCAGACCTGCCCAGCCCTAAGGAGGGGGCGTCACTCCGCAAGACCGCTCAGAGAACACTGTCACAGCCCTGAGACTAAAGGAACAGAAAAGCTCAGCGAGGACACAGGCCATATGCCTGATCCCAGAAACAAGAGGGGAAGTGCCAAGCGTGGGAAGACCATGGACCCGCGCCATGTCTCTTCATCCTGCATAACCTGGTAAGGTGTCCCGGGAGCTCCTGCTGCCGCTGCACTCCACAGAAGGCAGGACAGAAACTGTGAGCACCGGCCCAGAAACTTTGAGATGCAAGGGCAGGAGCTGAAGCCAGCCGCTGCACCAGGTCAGAGACCCCCACTACCACGTGACACTGGGCATGCACGAACACACAGTCTCACCGGGGTGGCATCCTGCACCTGGGCAGGGCTAAAGCTCCGCTCCGACAGGCCCGTGCCAGGCCACGACCTTAGGTCCTCCAGTCTCACAACTTCCCGGACTCCCAGCTAGGGCAGCGGACGCGCGCGGCGGTCACTCACCTGGGGGCAGCTGAAAGTTCTGGATGTTGGTCGGGTTCTGGGGCGGCTGTGGCAGGCGAGGAGCCAGGACGGTGGGCGTCAGCGTGGCCCGGATCCCACTGGTGGTGGCCGAGGGCGTGCGGGGCAGGCTCTGGGCGACAGCGCTGGCCGAGCCCTTGGGCAGCCCGGTGGGGGTGCCGGCGGCGGCGGGCAGCGCCCCTTGCATAGTTGGCCCGAGGATCATGCCGGGCCCCGCGCCGGCCGGGCAGCTGGCCGCCAGGGTCGGCGGCGGCGGCGGGGGCGCCGGCGGCGCCGCGGTCTTGGGC